TGTGTTTGTTTCATTCCAAATCCATTGTGGTGGTGTATAGAGCCAAAGATGTTAGAACTGTCGATGTCCCAATATTTCTGGACCTGACTGTATAAAGTTTGCTTCCCTATAGCTCTACACGGCATCAATTGTCCTTCAAAGTTTCAAACAAACAAACAAATGGTTGAAATCTCAAAAAGATTCCTGTGCCTTTGTGAACTCCCATGAGCTTTTGACCAAATGAAAAAAATTGCTGAAGTTTCCTACCCTCCCACTACATTCACTGCTCTGGCAGCCCATCTGATGAGAAAGCTGCCAAGCAGGGGAGCAAGGATGGGACTACCACACTGTGGCACCCATCTCTTGGGGGCTCTTTTTCAGGGATGGTCCCCCTCATTCTTTCTCAAAGGAAAACTTCAGAAAAGCACTGTGAAGTTCTCTTGGTCCTGCCATTTTTCACCTGCCCTTGTTACAGGAAGCAGAAGGAGTCCTCAAAGACTGTATGGCCCCCAGCCAGCAGCTGTGCCAGGACCCAGCCTACCAAGCCTGAATGCATTTTCTTAATAGCAGTTTGACGCACAATTGTTCACAAGTGGACTTTCTTATTTACAACTGGATGAGGGCTTCATGCTGCTAAGAATTCTCCTTAAATTACTGTGTCCCTTTTCATAGGAAGAAAGACTTCTTTAAATGGGATTTTAAAGAGAAGGGATCGCATCTTCTTGAGTTTTATTGTTTTTATTGTGTGTGCTTTGCCAATTTCATACATCACTCTTTGCTCCCTTTAGGAGTAAGAATGGAAAGTAATAATAATAATAATTAAGGGGAAGGAGGAGGAGGAGGAGAAGCAGCAGAAGACATAATAACAGTAATAAAAGGAAGAGGAAGAGGAGGAGGAGGAGGAATAAATAGTAATAATAATAATTTTAAAAGGAAGCAGGAAGAGGAGAAGAAGAAATTACAACAGAAGAAAAACTACTACTACTATTACTATCTACTACTACAGCGATGATACATTTTCAGATTTCCTTGCAAGAGAAATTTAAAGACTATTTCAAAACTGTCAAGATTCCACTGTTGCAGTTTGGGAAATGCTTACAACCAATTCAGCCCTTATATAGGGCTTGAAGGATTTTGCCCTTCATGCCCCTGTCTGTATCTCTCTTTTTTTGTAACTTACGGTTTCTGGTTCCCATAGCTCTTGAGGCGTCCCATTTCACCCATGTAAACCTTGCTTTGGCTGATGTCTTTGTGAACCACCAGCTCGTACTGCCGTATACTAGAGAAGAAGGAAAGTAAATAAAGTAAGTGGACAAAACATCTGGGCTTTCAATTTCAGGGGCCAGATCAGAGACCAAAGTGGGACAGAGCTCATATTGCCACATGGTGAACATGGAGGCAGACATTAAGGAACTCCCCCATGACCACAGCAGAGCCATACGGCTGAGGGCTTCTCTCTCCTCCCTCCACATGCCATATTTCTCCAAGAGCAATCTAACGGAGGCTACATGATGGGAGTGGATAAGGCCACCCTCTTCTCCCCTTGTCTGACACCATGCAAAATCACTCTTGCTAGAGCTCAGAATTGCTTGCTTGCAGACCACTTTGGAAATGAAGCTGAGAACCACCTGTGCCCCACCCTGCCCTTTGCAGAAGGCATCTCCCTGTCTGCTGGGACCGCAGGGACGCCCAGGCCCTCTTCTCATACTAGCTGCTGTTACACACTGACCAGGATTCATCTCCTGTGGCTTCCACACCAAAATGTTCACACACTGCTGGCCAGAACTGTTCGCGCCAAGTGATGAAATCTTCTTCCAAGCTGTTGGAAACAGTGAAGGGGGAGGTGAGGAAAACCAAAGGAATCATGTTCAACATACAGCAGCCAGACCAGTGTTTCTCAACCTTAGCAACTTTAAGATGTGTGGACTTCAACTCCCCATTGGCTTAAAGTTACTCTGGCTGAGAAACACTGATCCAGATCTTCTCACCTGTATCGTCCCTTCTGACTTTACAACTGTCCAAGCCGTATAGAAGAGCTGATCAACCATGTAGCCCTCCAATCTGTTGCAGAAATGGCAATATCAGTTCTATTAACATTTATATGGGAGGTCAAGGGCCTGATCCAAAAGAAACCCCTGTGGCTTTAAAAACCACAGTCAGGAGGAACTTCAACTGGTACTACTCTTATGTAAATGCATTGCTTTACCTGCTGAGCTGCATCTGGCATTTTACACAACAAATAAAGTTTACAGAAGGGTTTGGAAGGGACATCAATTTTTCAGCCTGTAGGTGATAGCTGACCTGTTGAAGGGTGAAATGAAAACTGCATTCCCAAAAAGCAGGGCTAAAATTATATTTGATTTCAGTTTAATGCAATTGCAAATGCATTTTATGAAATGTAGTTAATTAAATGCATAGGGCCTGGTTACTTGAGGGATCGCCTATCTTCCTTAGTATCTGCTCGACCAGTTTGACCTGGCAGGGTAGGTGCACTCTGAGTTCCATTGATTAAAGAACGCCGCCTGTCAGGGCCCTGGAAGTGCACCTTCTCTGTAGCAGCGCCTGGTCTCTGTAATGAAGTCCCCCCCCCCCCCAAGATCTGAACAGCCCCCACCCTACTGGTATATGAAGGGGGATGAAGACCTAGCTCTTCACCCAGGCCTTCCGTGAGGATGACTGAAGCCTCCTTTTAACCTAGATTGCTTTCTTTTATTTTCAGCTGGTTTGTTATTCTGCCATCTCTACCCTCTTTGGTTTCTTATGGTTCTTATTGTCATATTTTTCATGTTTAAATCATCTGTAAATCGTCCAGAGTTGCTGGGAGTCAGGCAGCATATAGAAATAATAATAATAATAATAATAATAATAATGATGATGATGATGATGATGATGATGATGATGATGTTAATGCCATAAATGTAACCAATTTTATTCCTCTGCCATATTAAAAATTATAATTGCATGGTAACTTCAGAAGAGATCTGCAGGGCCACATCCAAGCTTCCTTGGGGTTACAGGTGGTTCAGAAGGCTCACATTCTTCATCTCTGTTCCAGAGAAAGTAGACATCCAACTTACTTTGCATCATCATCTCCAAGGCCAAGTTCAAATATCCGCTGAGCTCCGAGCTCCTCCAGCCTCTTGTCTACGTATTTCCCCATGGCGTTGAAATGCTCATAAGTTTTGTTCCCAAGCCCAAACACCTGGAAAGCACCAGAATATTGGTTCAGCTGAGAGGCAGTCAGAGGAGTCCAAGGAATATTTCCTTGAAAATCAGGTCACTTTGGGTTTGACAAAGCTTGTTTAGATTAGGAGGTGTCTGTTCTAAACGTCTGTCAAACAATGCTGGTCCTGAGGTTTTCTTCTTCCTTGTAAATAGGACATGGCATACATTTTTGTGGATTCATCCACAAACGTTTATGCCACAACATATTTACCCATCTTTAAGGTGATATAAGATGCTTCAACATTGTGTTTACTGCAACAGGACCAGCAGAAGCTCCTCTGGAATCTTCTTCACATAGTACCTTATTAAATGTATCAGAATTCTGTTTGGATTCTACTTGCTTAGAGATATTTTTAAAAAGGATAACACAAACACAACAGTGGATAGGTCTGCCTGTGTCACAAGCAGGGTGAATGTCTTATGATAACCCCATATTACTTGTTCTTATTTATCTAGAGGCTCAGATCACATTCAAAACAAATCCAAGTTGCAACTTTCATTATTCACTTTAGCTTGAAACCCTTCACTCCTTGACTCTCTTCCTCATATCCCTATACATACTCCAGTTCAAAGTTTAGCTATTAAACTGGGTTTTCATTTGGCTAATTGTGATTTTTTTATAATAACGTCATTCAATTTTTAAAAAAGAAACAGTAAAAACAAATATTAATATTAAGAGAAAGAATAAGAATAGAAAATTGAAAAACAAAACAATAGTAACGATGAAAACTGCAGAAAAGAAAAGAAAAAAGAAAAGAAAAGAAAAGAAAGAAAGAAAGAAAGAAAGAGAAAGAAAGAGAAAGAAAGAGAAAGAGAGAAAGAAAGAAAGAGAGAGAGAGAGAGAGAGAGAGAGAGAGAGAGAGAGAGAGAGAGAGAGAGAG